GAGATGTTCTTCTGGGGGATAGGGGTTGAGGGACTTGAGGACACCCGACGTGGCTATGGGCACCCCAGGGGTGGAGGGACCCATGGAGACCTCGGGTATTCTCCTGGGGGCAGCACAGGTTGGGGAGATGTGGGTTGTTCACATCTAGCCAGGGGTTGAGGGACCTACGGGCAACAAAGATGTTCTCCAGGGGACATGGGTTGAGGGACACAGGGACACTCGACGTTGCTATGGGGACCCCAGGGGTGGAGGGAACCATGGAGACATCAGGTGTTCTCCTGGGAGCACCAAGGGTTGGGGAGTTGTAGGTCGTCCGCATCTACCTAGGGTTTGAGGGACCTATGGGCAGCCAAGATGTTCTCCTGGCGACATGGGTTGAGGGACACAGGGACACCCGACGTGGCTATGGGCACCCCAGGGGTGGAAGGACCCATGGAGACATCAGGTGTTCTCCTGGGGGCACAGGGCTTGGGAGACTCATGACCATCCCACATCTACCCAGGGTTCTAGGGACCCACGGCCACCCCCCACCCACCCAGGGCTTGAGGGACCCACGGCCACCCCTCATCGGGATGAGGACCCAAAGGGTTTGGAGGACCCCCTCGGCCACCCAAGGCGTCCTCCTGGTGACCCCAGGGTTGGAGTTGGGGACCTGTGGTCACCTCGGTGGCCGTACTCACCAGGATGAGGACCTTGCCGAGGCAGACGAAGGGGGTGCTGAGCTCGGCCATCAGGAGACACCCCAAGAAGAAGTCACCCTTCCCCTGGCGCCACAGCTGGGGGGACACGGGAGGACACAGGGGACACGGGGGGGGACGGACATCGGGGTGCCATGAGGACACAGAGGTCACACAAGGCCATGGGGCAATGGGAGGACGAGGCGATGCCCAACCTGGGTTGTCCCCATCTCCCTCTCCCTATGGCCTGGAGGTGGCCCCGTGGCCCAGAGGTGGCCCTGAGGTGGCCCCGTGGCCCCACGGTGGCCCCAAGGGGACACCATCCCCGTTCCCGCTCCCCATGGCCATGGAGAAGGCAATGAGCGCCACGGGGTCGTGGTGGACCTCCATGAGCACGTCCATCCCAAGCTGATGTGTCTCCATCCCAGAGCCCCGAGTGTCCCCAACCCATCCCATTGTCCCCAAGTGTCCCCACCTCCATCCCCACAGCCATGGGCAAATCAACATGCAGCATGGAGCTATGGTGGACCTCCATAACCACGTCCACCGCAAGGTGATGGCCCTCCATCCCATGTTCCCGAGCCAACCCCATGGCCCCAACCCTTTCCCTTGTGCCCAAAGTGTCCCCAATCCCCTGACGTCCCCGTCCCCACTCACGGTGGCCACGGGGAAGTAGATGAGCACCATGGCGGTGTGGTGGATCTCCATAACCACGTCCATCCCAAGATGTCATCCCACTCCCCCTCCCATGTCCCATGGCCCCAGCCCTTTCCCTTGTCCCCAAGGTGTCCCCAAGCCCCTGACGTCCCCGTCCCGCTCACGGTGGCCACGGGGAAGTAGATGAGCACCATGGCGGTGTGGTGGATCTCCATAACCACGTCCATCCCAAGATGTCATCCCACTCCCCCTCCCATGTCCCATGGCCCCAGCCCTTTCCCTTGTCCCCAAGGTGTCCCCAAGCCCCTGACGTCCCCGTCCCGCTCACGGTGGCCACGGGGAAGTAGATGAGCACCATGGCGGTGTGGTGGATCTCCATAACCACGTCCATCCCAAGATGTCATCCCACTCCCCCTCCCATGTCCCATGGCCCCAGCCCTTTCCCTTGTCCCCAAGGTGTCCCCAAGCCCCTGACGTCCCCGTCCCGCTCACGGTGGCCACGGGGAAGTAGATGAGCACCATGGCGGTGTGGTGGATCTCCATAACCACGTCCATCCCAAGATGTCATCCCACTCCCCCTCCCATGTCCCATGGCCCCAGCCCTTTCCCTTGTCCCCAAGGTGTCCCCAAGCCCCTGACGTCCCCGTCCCGCTCACGGTGGCCACGGGGAAGTAGATGAGCACCATGGCGGTGTGGTGGATCTCCATAACCACGTCCATCCCAAGATGTCATCCCACTCCCCCTCCCATGTCCCATGGCCCCAGCCCTTTCCCTTGTCCCCAAGGTGTCCCCAAGCCCCTGACGTCCCCGTCCCGCTCACGGTGGCCACGGGGAAGTAGATGAGCACCATGGCGGTGTGGTGGATCTCCATAACCACGTCCATCCCAAGATGTCATCCCACTCCCCCTCCCATGTCCCATGGCCCCAGCCCTTTCCCTTGTCCCCAAGGTGTCCCCAAGCCCCTGACGTCCCCGTCCCGCTCACGGTGGCCACGGGGAAGTAGATGAGCACCATGGCGGTGTGGTGGATCTCCATAACCACGTCCATCCCAAGATGTCATCCCACTCCCCCTCCCATGTCCCATGGCCCCAGCCCTTTCCCTTGTCCCCAAGGTGTCCCCAAGCCCCTGACGTCCCCGTCCCGCTCACGGTGGCCACGGGGAAGTAGATGAGCACCATGGCGGTGTGGTGGATCTCCATAACCACGTCCATCCCAAGATGTCATCCCACTCCCCCTCCCATGTCCCATGGCCCCAGCCCTTTCCCTTGTCCCCAAGGTGTCCCCAAGCCCCTGACGTCCCCGTCCCGCTCACGGTGGCCACGGGGAAGTAGATGAGCACCATGGCGGTGTGGTGGATCTCCATAACCACGTCCATCCCAAGATGTCATCCCACTCCCCCTCCCATGTCCCATGGCCCCAGCCCTTTCCCTTGTCCCCAAGGTGTCCCCAATCCCCTGACGTCCCCATCCCCACTCACGGTGGCCACCGGGAAGCAGACGAGCACCATGGCGGCGTGGTGGAGCACCATGAGGAAGTCCTTGCGCAGGTAGGCGCCAGCGGCCGCCCTCAGGGACGGGGGAGGCGCCACTTCGTGTCCCTTCACCCGTCCCCGGTGCCAGTGACACAGGAACATGGCGTAGACGTCGTAGATGAAGTAGGGGACGGCAAATTGGGGGTACGCCCCCGCCAACCAGTGCCTGTGGAGGGGAGGGATGGGGACATCAGGGGACCCCAGTGGCCGGGGAACCCTGTGTCACCCCCCCCCCCCCCCCCGGGGCGCGCGGGGACCCGAAAGGGGGACCACGGGGACCCCAATTTGAGGGTCACAGGAGTTCAGCGACACCGACTGGGAGGACTCAGGTGTTCGGGGAGACCTTGGGGACCCCAATTTGGGGGACCCAGGAGTTTGGGGACCCCAACTGGGGAGATCCAGGTGTCCAGGGACGCTTGGGGGACCCCGTGCCACCCCCTTGGGGGGACTCGGGCATCCAGGATCCCAATTTGGGGGACCCAGAAGTCTGGGGACCCTTGGGGACCCCAATTTTGGGGACCCAGAAGTTCAGGGAGCCGATGTCACCCCCTTGGGGGGGGACCCAGGCATCTGGGAGACCTTGGGGACCCCAATTTTGGGGACCCGGGTGTCTGGGGACGCTTGGGGGACCCCAACTGGGAGGGCCCAGGCGTCTGGGGGACTTTGGGGGGACCCCAATTTGGGGGACC